CTCAATTAGGCAGCAGGAAGAAAAGGAAGGTAAGATGTCCCCACCAATGTAAACGAAGGGAGGATGCATGGTCAAGTGTGATGGTAAAGGCAGGGGAGTTTCAATCAAGACATCTGAGCCTGTACCATGGTTTTGTCTTTCAGTAATCAAGGGAAATTGGGCAAATCAGTCTCATTTTCCTCCTCTTTGAAATAAAGATCTATATTAAATCCCTATAGAAAATAGGGTTACTACAAAAAATAAGTTAGATAACCTAAATAAGAAATTATACAGAAAAGAACAGAGCAAACTGGCCTGAAGCAAGTGCTGAGTAATTATAAGCTAAGTCTGAGATGAATGATGCTTTAGGCAACACATCCTTAAGCAGACAAGGTAGAGTATGATGTACATGGGAGCCTGTGAATGCCTGGGAATCACCATCAGCTTGGGGTGCAGAGGCAGTCAGGCTCAGAGAACCACAGCTGGTGTGAGGTAAAGGAAATGCTCAACATTTAATCATTGGAAGCTGGGAGCTAAAAATGACTTGTGCAAAATAGAAGCTCACTTTTTCTGAATGGACGCTGAGTTGATATGGTTAGTTTGTTGGCATAAGGGATGCAGGCACTCACCATTCCTCCCATTCTGAAAAGATTCCATGCCATGAATTGGCAACAATAGGCACATTTTATGGAGGTTAAAGAGAGAATGACTATAATGAAGCAAATGGAGGTATCTGAGGGATTCCAATTGGGAGGCCAAGCCTATTTGTTGTATTAGTAGGTTCTGATGCTCAGAACTAGCACTCCCTGCATTTCCACATAGACATGCTGAGAATCTGAGTCTATTGCAAAGGCCAGGCCACACTTTAAATGGGAAATATGGGTGGGTTCTCCTGCTTGCCCTGCATCAAATTAGGTTGAAGAATGTGTGGGACAATGTGTGAAAGGGCTGAGGAAATTGGGAGGGCATTGGGGAAAGGGTCAGAAAAAAATTTTTGGCATCCTTTTCTATATACTCTTTTCACAGTCTCTGAAAAGGCCTGGGACCACTGTACTAATTATAGGAGAAATCGGGACTCTCCCCCAAATCTCCAAAAGAGTGCCCGTTAGAATATATTGTACTCATAGTGACCACCTGCTAAGCTGCTACAAAGAGTGTTCAGGGCTGACTGAGGTCTGCAGGGCTTGACTTGCTCTGGGAGGCTGCAATGGTCTTAAATATTCATGAAGGTCAGCCTGACCATGGTTGAACTAAACCTTATTAAGAAACAGAGACTGGGCTCCTTTGTGTCTCTTAGGCAGCTTTGGGCTTTAAGAAATTCCATTCATTATTCAAGTCTTCCTCCCCTTTGCCCCTGAGAACTCAGTGGTCTCTGAAATTGAACCTGGAATGGCCAACTGACGCCTTCCCATCCTCTGATTTACTCTCACTGATGGAGATATACAAATCACCACTATTTTAGGACCTCCTTCCTCCTGACTTCCAAGATGCAGGGAGGACCAGGGGAATGGGAGTGAGGCACAACAAAACTTCAGGGAACTGAACTTTGAGCCAAAGCATGACCATGAACACCAGCCCAGCTCTAATAGTCTGCAAAGTCTGTGAAGATGGAGTGGTTATCCACAAGGGGGAGCATTCTCTGGATCACCAAAAGAGGGGAAACTGATTGTAGCTTGAAAGACTTATTCTTTCAATAAGGTTGGGTGAATGTTAACAGACAGTGAATGACAGTATGGCTTAAGTATGTGATGCTGGAAATTGCCTTGCTTTCTCATCAGAAAGCAATCAACACCTTAAGTGAATGAATGATGTGACATGACTGTAGGTATGGTCAACCCAATTCACCCATCTTCATGCATCCTATGTATCCTTCAAAACCCAGCTGGAATGCCAGTCTTTTTAAAGTCTTCCTTTATACCTCCACTTAAAAGTATTGCTTCCTGTTTTGGGTGTGCTTAGCATCATGCACCTCGCTTAGGGCTCCATTTTTCCTGTATTATAGTTATTTATGCACATTTCTCACCTCTCATATTTAATTCCTCGGGACTGTATCATCTTTAGAGCCTCTACAGTTCTAGCCCTGCACTTGACACAGTAGGTGTTCAATAAATATTTGATAGCCAAGTGACTGACTCAATTTGAAGTAGGAATAATAAAAATAATTCATCATCTGCCACCTTGTTCTTCCAAGGAGGGTCAGTGCATGGCAGACCCGGCCTGAGAGGTCCAAGGTCAAAAGTCTCTACAATGGCTGTACCACAGCTCAAATTCAGGAGAGAAATTCTTGTATCATTTGCCACATCCTATTGAAATACCATATATCTCCTGCTTCTGATCTCAGAGTTTCCCCAGGAATGGAATTTGTTCTTGTCTTGAAGCAGGGCACCCAGAAAGCAGGTAGGGGGTCAGGAACAGATTCCAAATAGAGATTCCCCCCAGAAGTTCAAGAGCAATTAACAATGAATGGGACTGAGAACACCTATCTAGAATGATCACATGCCAGGACAGGGCCTTCACCCTTCAAAGGAGACAGAGAAACCTCCAGCTTAGTAACAAGAAATACCACAGCTTCCTCACAGTGGTGCAAAAACTTCCCACAAAAACCCAACAACAGTCAAGGCCAAAGACCAATTCGTTCTGAGTAGACATGGTCTCTGGACAGATAGAAAAAGATACCTTTTCACAATGAGAGGAGGCTCAACACCCTTTCTCCTGATGTCAGGGATTCCCTCTCAACCAAGGGAGCTTTGCTCCTGAGCCAGCAGTAGGCCACTACATGGACAAAAATGGCTGGTCTGCCTTCTAGGTTTACCTTTAGAGATTGGTCCATTTGATCCTTCCAGTATAAGAAACAGATTAAACCTAGTACTAGGGGCTATCAACACGTACACCTAAAATGCCTCTACTCCAGATGCAACAAGAGCTTCCTTCTGTTCACCCTGAAAATCTCCTAGTTATCTGTGCCCTGGTGATTTGCGGGTACAATGGGTGTGGGAATCCAGGAAGGGTAATAGAAGTGTGGAAATGGCCCAGAGCCTGCATGGAGAGAGCAGTCAGCCCAATATTTCAATTGCAGAAGGGTCTCCATACACAAAGCCTCCCCTGTGGGAAAGTTGGGGGCTGAGATGAATGGAAAGAGGGAGCAAAGACATGAGCTTGTAGGTGGCTCTGTAACTAATTTTCTCTTGGCATTGGGCAGGTTGGAAGGTGATGATACAAGCAAGAATCCCACAAAAACCCACCTGGAAACTGGCTCTTCTGAATCTACAATATCTATCTCACCCAAAGAACAGGGACTAATAAGAATTGTGCTTTCTAGTGCCTAAAAAAACAAAGCAAAACATTCTTCTTCAAGCATGTATTTATCCCAAAGAAATATTGGGATCTGGGGAAGCTCAGTGAGGTGGCAAATTCCTCAGAATCAAAAACCAATGTTGGAAGCATATTGTCATTGTAGTGAGTGTGTGTGTGTGTGTGTGTGTGTGTGCGCGCGCGTGTGTGTGAGATTTATCATATATTCCCACTCACCTACATATATATGTATATGTATATACATATATATGTATATATATATATTTAGATTTCCCCACTTAAAATCAACACCAGTGTGTTCCATCTTCAGTACACATTTTATCTTCATTTCAATTCATAGACAGACCATTATACCATAAAAAGAGAGAAACGGCTGAGAGCAGGCAAAGTGTAACCTACCCAGTGCTTTTTGAAATGCTGGGTCAGCATTGTTAAAGAGCAAAGCAAACCTCCCAAATACAAGTTAAAATGTCTGTTATTAATATACACTAGCAATTCTTTATGATCATTAGAAGAAAATAAAGGAGACAAAAATGGATATATTATGAAATTGAATCTTAAGCATTTTTCTTTTCTTTTTGTAGTTATGGTAGGTATTTTAAGGGAAAACTTGCCAGTTGGAGAAATGGGTCTCCCCACCATTGATTACTACTTTTCCCTAGCTCTCTGGAGGTTGGGAGTAACGACATACATACAGAGTTTCTCTGAAGTATCATTTTAAAGATCTTTTCCTCTAATGTACAGACCTCTTAAAATCTCATTTAAAACACAGTTAATGAGTTTGAGAAATGTCTTAACAAGTTTTGGCAAAAGACACAGCAAAATAAGGGTTGTTGAATCAAACAAAATAGTAGGTGTCACGACCAGGGTGTGCTTAGTTAAAGTAATTCGATTCAAACACACAGAAAAAAGAAATCAATCGCCGACAATCCACCTTGTAACTTCTATTCAAGATTCCCTTCACCCGGTCCTGTCATTGGTCAGGATTCATCCGAAAACCTTGAGTCTTTATGGCATTGCTGTCTTGTAGACTACAAATATTTCCAAGTCACCATCTCTCTTAACACATGGTATGGAAGAGAGTCCCAGAAGATTTAGAGAAGATGTGGGAGCTGGGCACAGGGTAGTTCACCACCAAATAGCATAACACATAAAATCAACCTAGAGAAAATGGCAAAGTCAAAAGTAGCTCAAATCAGACGAGAATGCTAGGGAGTCAGTGAGTACCATATTCCATGCCAAGAAATTGAAATTGAAAAAAAAAAAAAAGAACGAAAGCCGGACATAAATCAATATCGAAAGTTTCAAAAAGTCAAAGCCAAACCAATGTTTCCTTTTTCCCCCTACACACAACCTTTTGTTCTAAGCCCAAAGGCATTGAGATCAATCTTTTTTTTCTCTCCTGGAAGATTCAAGTCTGCAGAGACACTTCCATGTGATCACTTGAGTCCACAGAAATAAAGCACCTTTGGAACCAAGAGATGTTCAAGAATCCTAGTGTCTTACTCAATGTGTTGAAAAAAGTACAGTTAACATAATTAGGATAATTCCTCAAATGACAAACACAACCATATTGACTCCAGTGAATAGGCAAAAGGGCTCCCAGGGCAATTCACAACCAAGAAGATAGAGCACAATAAAAGGCTATGACATTTCATGAATATTCTGTGTTATAGCTTTGAACTTTATTGCAAAGCAAAAATATATATTTTTATATATATATTTTTTTATCTACATTTCACCTCTGACATTGTACACAACACGAAAGCACAGGAAACCAAAAAAATCATAATGAGGTAGATACATAACACTTACAGATGGAGGAGACTAAAGAGTTTAAATTTGGCTTAATACTGTGGTCACCAATGTATGCATTTTCAACACAGCAGCAAGCATTGATTCATGGGGCAAGAAGCCCAATGATCTCAAATCCAAAAATAAGCCCCTTTAAAAAAAAAATACCTGCTTCCAAATGGAAAGAAATTTTTTTTTCTTTGAAAAATCAGGGATTCAGATGTGTTCAATTGCAAACTCTGGTGAAATAAAGTTTTTGTTTTTGTTTTTGTACCCAGCGGGGGGGAATGTAATCTTCACCTATGTAATTAGGAGTAACCTGTCCCATAGGGTACTTCTTTGTTTTCCTGCTGGAGGGGTTGGGGCAACCTTAGGAGCTCCGTGGCCAGATGTTAATAAAGGAGCAGGGTTTCTTCCTTTTCCCTAAAGTAACCTCCACCTCTGCAGCCACTATACCAGGGACCACTAGCCTTGGAGGGCCCTTGAAACATGCCTGGAAATGGCTGGAAATCAGCTGAGCTGTGAAGTCCCTGGCACGACTTTACCTTTCTAGGACCATCTGCTCTCCCAGTGGGTGAGCACCAACTGGTTTGGAACATTGGGATCATCCCTTTCCCTGTGTCATTTCCACTGTCAGCCTTCCAATGGAGAGCTGAAAAGATCACCGAGAAGGCCATGTTCAGCCTCAATTTTAACTGTAAATGCATTTTCACTGTAAAATGCAGTGTCAGGCAGTGGTATCTGCCACAGAGACCAATGTCCCCCTAGTCTGATGTCTAGGATGAAAGGAGAATGACAAGAGAAGGGACCAGGAGAGCAACTTGGCTGGTGGAGGCAGCAGCTGGGAGAACAGAGCCATGAAATGACCAACCAAGGAAGGCTCAGCCCTGGCCGGTGCAGATGGACCATGGACACCGAAGGGGCTCCAACTAGAAAGCGAAGGAGTAACTTGGGTTTGTCACCAGTGACTCGAAGAGGAGACCCTAGAGAAAAACATGGAGGAAACAAGACTCAGAGATGCTGATGGAACTAAAAGTGGACCTGAACCAAACTCCTTGGATTGTTTAACTCTGGACATGATCCTGCGTTTGGTAGGCTTGGCTCCACTGAGAAAGAGCTGGGATCAGCTGCAGGCCAGGTCATCCTCAGGAAAGAGGGCAGACAGAGGGGTCCTGGTGGAATGCATGGTGAGTCTGGGATGATGGCAGAATGGGGAGGGAACGGACAGGCCACTGCCTGGGCGAGGAGACTGGTGCATGAGCAAAGTGCACGTTGGGGAAGCTTGAAGCGGGCCTGTCTGTGGACTGTCTCCCCGAGAGACTGTAATGCCCCAAGAGGCCACCTTTCCCCTTTGTGTTTCCAGTGCCTAGCAGAACACCTGACACGTGGAGGCCACTATCCAGGGTGAATTGCATTTATAGAAAAATGCAACAAGAACATGGTTTGGGGAAGATGTCTACAGTGTAATAAGAGCTTTGAAGACCCTATATCCCACCCCACCCCCACCTCAAAGCAATCCTCAGAGGCCTCCTCCAGCCCTCCCAGATGTATGGTGAGTGAAAACTCCCATTTGAATTTTGAACGTAAACCATTAAAGAGGAAATACACAGAAGCAGGGCCCAGTGGGAAAGAAACTAAAACCAATTCATTTGAGTCTGTGTAAAAACTGAGATCTCAGCAAAGCTGGGCAGCTGCCCACAGCCTGGTTGGGCCAGAAGTTCAGGGTCAGGGTTGTGATGGGTCTTGAGCACTTCAGTTCAGGAGGCAAAGCTACGGGGAGCTTTCTACCATCACTCTAGCTCTACAGGAGTTCCCGCACAAGGCAAGGCTGAGAGCACTTCTGAGTATCCCAAAGGTCACTCATGCAGAGACTAGATCTCTGTCCCCTGGGAGACCCAGAGCAAAGGGAATCCGTCTAGATTGCAGCAGGCGGATGACAAGAGAAGGGACCATGAGGGAGGACTCTGACCACAGCCCGTTGAAGAGTGGGTGCAGGCAAGGCGCTTTTCCCTGGGTGGCCTTGGAGAACAAGCTTGCTCTCTTTTTGTCTGTGACTATGAGAATGAGCAGAACTTAGGTGATGTCCGAGTCCCCTTCAAACCCTGAGATCCCACTGTTCCTTGTGCTCAAGGACTGGGGGGTTTTCTCCAAGGATAACTGCTGTGACTGTGGCAGGCATAGGATAGCGTGAGTGTGGGCACGTGCACGTGCTCAATCAGAGGCTGCCCAGTAGGCATTAAGCTAATATAATTGTTGCAAATGTGTAAAGCATGAGGCTGACTGTAGAGAAACTATTGGGGTCACTGTGCCCCTTCCCCACCTCTCTTTAACCTGCGTTTTCACGGTCTGTTCTCTTCTCTCATTTATGTTGGGTGTTGTTTTTATTTTCCTTTAACCAGTTCACATAACAGTGAATATCACTTTCTTAAGCATAATAGTTTGATGGTGGTCATATCATTCCCTGGCTTAGGAATTTTTCAGTGGCTCCCAACAGTTTATCATCCGAAATCCAAATTTATCAGTTCGGTTGTCAAAACTTTCATCACATGCATTTTTCATCAAATGCATCTGGGTATTATCTCTCCGGTATGGGTCAGTCACAGAGGTCACCAGGCTCATCCCTCTGTTTTACAGATGGGGAAACTGAGGCTCACCAAAGGCAAGTGACTGCCCCAGGAAAGGTGGGGACGGAAGCAGGGTGTGGGTTCCCAGGCTGCCTTCCCTCTAGTCCAGCATGTGGGGTTTCCTGCCTTGCCCAGAATTACTCCTCTCTACCATGTCATAGCCATTATCTTCTGGGAAGCATCCATTTCTGAATTTGTCCTAACTCCAACTTTCAACTCTTTCAATGGATCCTTAGAGAAATAACCCACCTATCTAAAGTCCCCTGACCTTTCAAGATCACACACAACTAACCCACAGAAAGGAGACACAGAGTTCTCAGGACAGCCAAACAGACACCTCAAATGCTCAGAGCAAGGTTCCATGGAGCTCTTTAGGAACTCACACCCAACAGGTCATGGTCAGGTGACCTGTGGGCAGCAGGTGTCCTCTTCCTTGGGGACACCTTATTTCATAAACATTTAGTCCCCTACATCCTGCCACTTTTGTCTTAGCCTCCATGGCCTTCTGCAGGGAAACAAGTGTGCCAGGGATTCCATAGTCCAAGCAGTCCCTGCCGGGCAGGCACTCGGAGCTACCTGAGTCACCTGGTCATTGGGAGCCATTGGGGGAGGCATGGGGAGAGCCTTGACCTTGGAGAGTGGGGCCAAATATCCAGGTCTGGCCCCCCAGGTGTACCCGACGAACCACAGGACCCTGTGCAATCACAGAGGTTTCCTGGGCCTCAGATTCCTCATTGGTAAAATGGGGTGAGATTTCTTGTTGCAAGATTACTGAAAGGATTTAGATGAGACCATTTGTAGGAAGGCAACTGGGACAGAGCTTCATATCACTGGCACTCAATTAATGTCAGCTGAATCTGAGTTCTCCTGCCCTCCCAAAAGGGGCATCTGCTTCATCGTGGCTGGTATCACCTGCCCAGGTCACGCTGGACTTACTCTGACATCCGACATTCCTGAAACTCCAGTAATCCTAAATACTTCTCTCCTCTAAAGGAACTCTTCCACCCTTAGGAGGAAACACAGCAGCTCTGCTGGGACTCCTTTAGAAGCAGCCAGCCTGGGGGAGCTCTGGGTTGCACCTGACTTATCTGGCCCAGTTATTCACAGCTATACACCTATGGGCCCTAAGGGGATCTCAGGTGCCAATGGATGGCAAGAAGTCACCTAACAAAGCTACCACAACGGGACCCATCCATTCTGATGCGGAAGACTTTCCTCAGCAAAGGCTCTGTTTGTGCTGCCAATGAACTGTCAGGTCTCAGGCCTGGCATCTTCCCTGGGTCTAGATTTGTGGTGGGACTCAATAATGCCACAGCCGCAGGGGAGCAGGTTGCCATAGCCCCAGAATTAGTATAGGATGCCCTGACTCAGCCCTGGGAGAAGAGCGAAGATCTAGACCACTTCCACTCTTTGGCCCCTCTTCATTTTGCCCCAAACTCTGAACCTCACAGATACCCAAAGTCCCTGGATCCCCAAAGCTGTCTGAGGACCTGAGCCTGATGGGCAGGCCAGAGAAGAGTGGGGTCATGGGCCAGACCCTGGCAGCTCTGAGAGGACACCTCTAGTCCCCAGCCACTTTTTATGGAGGCCCAGGAGTTGCAAAGTCTTGTGATGTCTTGGAACTGATTCCCTTGATGTTTTCGGAGCCGTAAAGACAAGTTGGCTTCAGGATAAGACTCCTGGGTTTGTGTAGGCAGGACCAGAGCCCATGAAGGCCTAACGTCTCCAAAACACTACCTCCAAGGGTAAGAGGACCCCCTTACAGGAGGAGAAAGAAAGGATGAATGATAAATTCCTGGGATGGGTCTGAGCAGGCATGACCTATGGAACAGGACAAAAAGCAAAGGAACAGCACTTCATGAAGAGCCCCTGAGTAGCTAAGAGTCTGTGCAGGATGGGGGAGGCAGGAATGAGGCCCACGAGAAAACGCATTCTTGTCAAAGGGCTACTTCCTTTTCCATCCCAAAGGAATTGCATCCAAGCTCCCACCATCCATGGACTGGAAACGTATTGTGCTGGAGCAGTTCGGCAGTGTCTGAATTTATTTTTTAAAAACTGGCTCGAAGGGCTTGGGACCTTGTGCAAGATTTGTACGCCGTGTGCAAAACTCAGCCTTGTGCAGACAACCAGAGAAGTTGAGAAGCTGCCTTCTGCGCGCAGGGCACCCCCTGCCTAGTTTGTGCTTTGTCTAACCCCACGATCTCTCTTTGTTCCAGCAACTACTTTCTGAAACCTTGTGAAGGTGTGCTCGGCCACAGTGGCTCCGGGGTTGTTTATAAATGCCCTAGAATCCATCATTTTGCTTTCGAGCCAAGGGTGTATATCAGATACACTCTTCAAATGGGGTGCAACCTGAGGGCCGACTTCCTGAGCACTTTGATGCAGGCTCTTGAAGATTCTCTTTATATCGAACTTTCAAAATAAAAGCAGCAGATGCAATAATCCCACTCAGGCAAGTTGCCATCGGTGGCTGGCAGGGGAAGAGGCATATTAGCGTGAAGCTGGGCAAAGGTAAAGAACAAGGATTTGGCCCTGGGCAGAGCAGGGAGAATAGGTGGAAAGGATGCACTTGGCAGAAAGCTATAAAGCTAAGGTAGAAAATATTAGTTCACCCTCTGAGGATAGGTTACTCCATATAGATGACTACAAATAAGGAAATAAACACCTGGGTCAGATCCTTCCCAGAGTACGTGAGGTCCCCGCCAGGGTCTTTACCCAGGACCAGGGCCCATATTCTTGCCCAACCCCCAACCCCAGAGGTCACATGCTCATTGTTCCACTTAAGCCAAATTTTTTTTTGATCTTGCCTTAAGTCAACACATCCCCAAAACATATCGTATAAAAGTACACTTTATAAAGAAAAATAAATATTTTGAGTCAAAAAAAGGTGAAAACAAGTTGTAAACATGGAACCGAAATGGAGAAATACACATCTGTTCACTTAGGGAACCAAACAGGGTTACATCGAATCAAATTCATGGAAACCGAAAGAAAAGGAGAAGCTTTTCTCGGGAGCTCTTCGATTTAGGAAGAGAATCACTGTAGCATGCTCACCTTGAACCAGGGGCTGGGTGTGGTGGTTCTTGGACAAAGGAAAATCTGTGAGCGGGGTGGAGATCTGAGGTGAAGGAGGGAGGGAAGAGAGACTGGAAGATTGCATAGTTGTGAAACAGTGGCTTCTATCAAGGTGAACAAGTGCATCATCTGATAAAATAGCATTTGATATATATTTTTCTCTGTTCATTTCTGTTTACCATCTTTTTCTCTGTCCACCGAGCATTTCAGACAGGGAAGCATATATACAGTACACACACACACACACACACACACACACACACACACACACATACACGCTAGCGCTACACATGAATGGCATAGCCATACTTTACAATGACCCCTCACCACTTGTTCTGGCAACGTTTGCATTCACTGATACACTTTTGCTACAGTCTCGCCCCATTTCTTGTCAAAACTTGTGTCTTGGATGATTTTTTCCTTCTTTAGCCATGAAAGGGGGCAGGTGAGAATGGGGGCGTCGAGGAAAGCACCAGAAATGGTTCTGTTTTCTTATTAAACTTCTGTGGAAATGCCTCCCATTTTGGTAGGAGAGAGGGGGTTTACAATTTTGAAGAGATGGGGGAAAAACAACTGCCTCTTTTTTTGAACATTCTTGAGGTAAACATATTTGTTAACACCTTAGGCAGCAGACACACTGACAGTGCTGTTGAGAAACCTTAGACTGAGGGGGGAAACAACGCCAAATGTAACATGAACGCTCAGAACATTTATAAAGCACATCTACATTTTAATTAATTTCCCTTTCCTCTCATTCAGCCAACTCCTTTGAATAACATAGAACAGAACAGAAATACGAATAATTTCCTATCATTTCCTACACTGGGCATCCTTTATTCCATCCTACTGTAAACCTCTTGTGCTCACATCCTCAAGGTTGTGAACCAACTGAAAATTAAAAGAAAGATTAACATACTTCACTTTTTCCATTCTTCCCATCTGCCTCAAGCATATATATATGTATATATGTATATACACATACATATATATGATAGTTTACATTAATATAGGAAATAGCAAAGCTCTTTTAGTTACATTTATACAGAATCACTGCATCTGATCTTTATTTTCTATTCTCTCTCTTTTTGGATAAACAATTGGCTATAACAATCTACAGTAAGGCTTCACAGAAAGAATTCTGCATGTTTTTGTTTTTCTCTAAGAACCAAAGTTTATAAAATGAGGTTTGATTCTAGCACCTTAGACAGTATTAGTGATGTTGTTCCCTTGGGAGAAGTTAGCACTACCCAGCACCTCAGGCCAATCTCAGTCTGTTCCACACTTTTCAAAGGTATTGCCAAAGGAGGACACACAGCGCGGTGGAGATGGCGGAGCAGGGGGGCACACAGCCACACCCCGGGTTAAAATCAGCAACATACAAACAAACCCATCAACACAGGTCAAGTTGCTGTCCCCAAGTTAATGATCACTTAGTGTTTCCGTGCTGCCAATGAGTCCCTTTGAGTTAACCCTCCCCCCATGAGGTAAGGAATAGCAGGATGTCCATTTTAGATGGGGAGACTGAGTCAGGAGACGGATGCAGGTCAGCAGGTCACAGAGGACACAGTCTGGGCTAAGACACAGAGGCAGGGATGCCCAACCTCTAGCCTCTTAGCCCCAAACTATCCCTCTCATCACCTTGGACCGGTGAATTGAGATTTTGCAAAAGCAGTTTATTTGGCCGCTGATGAGGAAGCAAAACAAACAAATTTTTAAAAAAATATCAGCACCAAAGGAAGTTCAAAAGAAGCTGCTCGATGCTCCCTTGTCCAATATTCCATGGAGACAGCAACTTTCACAAGAAAGGAGACAACGCGTCACAGGGGTAACCATCTTGGGTGCCGGCGCCCTGCCCGGGAGTTGAAACTGCACAGAGCGGTTGGTTCCCGTCGAGTAGTGCCTGTGTTGGCAGAGGACCGATCCATTCCCACCAAATCTGCATCAGAACCTCCATCCCATAATTATACAGCGCTAGAGAGGTCTCTACCTCTGTACCTATTTATACACGTTTACACGGAAGTCCTTGACTGCACTGGCACATGACCCCACGCGAAAGTGCTGGCCTTGCTGTTTGCTGCAAGTGGCCGCCTCGACGGGGGTCACACGAGAGAAGCACCACAGGAAAAGGCACCACAAGGTTTCGAGAAGTTAAATTGCCTGCTGTCGCCGCCCTGACCTCACCGTGGTGGGGGAACTGAAAGCCTTCCATCTCTAGCCAGGGCCACTGATTCAAAAAGGGTCCTGTCCCATGTACACCTGTCCATTTCTGATCCACAGGGAGAGAGGGAAGGAAGAGGTGGATGTGGCTCTTCTTACTGCAATTTCTTTTTGGCTACTGGAAAGGGAACACATTTCCGTTCTTAAAAAAGAAAAAGGGGGACCCGGCCTTTGGGAACCAAGCCCTCCTAAGAAAGGGAGACGATGAACAAAAATCCTGTGCGAAGGCAAGTTCTGCGTGGAAGTCTGTCCTTCTCATGTGATTCCGTGGGGGCATTGCGGTTGGAAAAGAAAGAGGAAATGCAGGAATGACATCTGTAGGCACCATTAGCCACAAATAGCACCGGGTCTAGAGTAATGAGGACAGACAGATGTCCACATCTGTCCACATAGCTGAGAACCATGAGAGTTGGCTGGGAATCACTATGACACCATCCTTAGAGTCTGGCCAAGGAAACTGGAAGTCCTTGGCCGTTCGGAGCACCAAGAATGACATGTGCTACTGACAACCAGGGGAGGATGGGGGCAGCCAGGACCGCACAGCAGATGCGAGATGGCATTCCAATTTTCACTAGTTGCTTGCTGGCCTTGAAATAGCCCTTCCTATGTTTCTTGTTCCTGGCAGGGAGCCACACTCCTCATGGGAATGGGGAGCCTGTATGGGTGAGGGGTGTGGAGTTCTCCCCACCAGCCATTTCCCTTCCCTCATCCTGGTTAGAAAAAGAAAAGCCAACTGGCCCTGCTGGTGTGATCTGGAAGGCTCCCGGTACTGACTGTCCATGGAGACAGGATCGGGAGGCCTGAGGCCAGGATCAAAATAACTCACTGCAGGGACCCTCTTCCCAGACTTTGGTCAATGCTCCGACTAAGCACAGGGCCTGGTCACAGGGGTAGTCTGAACAAGCAGCCTCTGTGTGTACTATTTAAATGGAATTCTTTTTTTTCCGTCCGGTTCCTCAAACTGGTATTTGTTTGTTTGCTTGTGGGTTTTTTAGCTTAAATTGTTTTTCAATTTCTGACGTTTATCAATACCAAAAATGATACTCCCATTTCAATGTGAAGAAAAATGAATTGTTCCTACCTCTTTCCAAAAACCCGAATTATGTATCCAAACCTACTCTGGGGACGTGGACAGCAGGGGCAAACAGAAGACTTCCGTCGGAAGAGTCCTCATTTGCCAAGGCCTTCTCTAGCACCTTCAGGGGGACAGAGCAAAGCCCTATGGATACCCCATCTGTCCCTGTCCCTGCACTTGGTCTCCTCTTACGTTATTTTTCACCCGTATGCCTCCTGTCCTGGCAGACTTGGGCATTTGGGAGTCTGTGTCTGCCCACGGATTTAGGAGACCGGCCTCTGCCCGTTTGTTCCTCCCAGGACTTCCTACAACTTCCTTCTGGGCAGGAAATGTATTGATGGCGCAAAGCCTCTGCCTCTCTGCTGACCGAAGGTCACGGTGTCCTGACCGCAGTCCCAGCAACCAGAGTGGGTGGAGTCTAGATGGGCAAGTGCAGTTCTGAGCGGCTGGACGGAGAGGGCTGGCTCCCCTCGCCTTCCTCCCCAGCTCCTCTGGCTGCTGCTGGCCAAGGGAGATGGCAGAGAGAGGAGAAATCCACATCTGTCATTATTACTGCTCCCTCAATGAGACCAAGTGGAAGGTGCAACCGTGGCACTGGTTCCTAGCACTGGAGAAGGGAAATACTGCCAGGGCTCTGCTCACAGGCTCCGTCCTCCAAAGGGTTTCCCTTGTTTTCAGAGTCAAGAGCTCCCTCTGCTGGACGCCTGTATCACATGCTGCCTTCCACTGGAGTTCTTGTTTTTAGCCAAGCCATGGTGGCCAGAGAAGGTTAGATCAAAAGGGACATTTTGGAAACAAAGATGACTAGAGAGGCTAAATAATTGGTCCAAGGTCACATAGTGTTGGGCCAGAGCTCAGAATTACTGATTTCCTACCAGGAGTCTTTACACTATCCTGTTATGACAAGTGGGGTCATCATTCTCAGCCTTTCAAATTTTCATTCAACATTTTCCCTCCCTTACTGCATCGCACATGGCAGGGGCTATGTTTTGCATATAATAAATGTTCAGTTAAGCGGAATTATATTTTAAAAATAAGAGCTTCTTTTTCCATTCAAGGGGGTTTCTTAGTTATGTAGTTTATGTCCTCAGCCAAATGCATAAGGGCTCCCCTTGCCTGTAGCACAGGTTTCACATAAGCAGTACCTGTGCAGGTCAGTTGTGAGAAAGCACAAGGGTCCCTTCTGGCCTTCCTGCCACCATCTTTGGCTAAGTCATTGCCCATAGAGCTGCTCCTGAGAGATGGGGTTAGAACTAGGCTCACTGACATTCCCTTAGGTTGAGAATTTGGTCGATAACAGGTGGCCATAAGCCTACATGTTCAGGAGGGCTCAGCCTATAGTCCACTGCGAATTATCTTTTACATCATCAAACTTTGGAAACTATGTTCTACTCACACAGCTGCTGCTCAGAACAGAAGGGCTGCTGACGAAGATCAGATACAAGGGAAAAGGGAAGGAAAGATTCCCAGCTAGACACCAGGGTGAGTCTCCTGTGGGTGACTGGAGCCCCTACAGCAAACTCTCACCTCATTGAATGGACAGCGAGGGACAAGGGCACACACCTTTAGCTCAGAACTGCCAAGTTCTAGAACTTTCCTTTGATGGATGCATGCCTGGTCATTTGTTCAGGGGGTGGGGGTGGGGATAGCTGGAATCTCAAAACTAGTGGCGTTTAGGAGTGCTTCTTTTAAACCTTCGCATTCACATACAAGAAGCCAGTTTCTCAGACACAGCTAATGCTCAGAGTAGATAGAAGCAACGAGAATATTTTATTAGCCCTTTAGGGGAAATTACAAATTTTATGCACTCAAGACTGAATTACCTGAGAGTTTCAAATAGTTTTGCTCTATAAAGAGTCACTTAGCAGTGTCATCAGTTTTATTGGGTTAAAATGGGAAGAATGACTGGTAGGGAACGTATCCCAGAAAAAATAAACAAAGGTAAGAAAATATCTTAAAAAATAACCATCATGTTGAGTAAAGAGCTTGGATTCCAGCCTTCCGACCCTGCAGGCTGCTCCCCTCACAAGGCAGACAGATTGGGAGAGCCAGTGACAGTGAGCACACGGGAAGGCCCCAAACATCTCTCCAGGGGATGTCAGTGAGGTCAGAGCGGGATTCTGTGGCCCGTCCTCGGGCACACATGTGAGGAAATGCTGAGAAGCTCTGCCCAGCTGCAGGAGTACAACCTGCTGCTTTGAACAGGAAACCACAGGTTAACAACCCACAGACGCCAAGAGGTGTCAGTGAGGCACCAGAGGGTTCTCCTCCTCATTCCTTTCTTCCCTCCTCTCTTTGTCCTCTCCTCTCGCTCTCCCTTCCTCCCTCCCTCCGTTCCTCCTTTCTTTCCTTCTTTTCCTACCTGTATATTTTCTTCTGTAACAAATCTGTGATTTTTTTCAAGTGAAAAAAAAAAGCCACATAGGAAGGCAGGGGTGCACCATGGCCCTTCCAGGTTGTACTCTCATTTTCCCATGTCCTATCCCCAAGTTCCTCTCCTTGTAGCCCAAGGAGATGTTTTCTGTAATACTCATAGAAAAATGGGTTTCTTATAAACATGTCTTGTCACAAAAGAGTCCCTGCCAGGAAACAGACAATGGAACTAGTAGACACTGGGGATTGGCACTGGGGATAAGGGACATCAACAGAGGGGAGAAGGTAGGTGTCCCACATGCTCCTGGCATGACCCTCTGCAGCAGCTGGCCATGTGCCGCACCACCAGGGGCTGCAGACACAGACATGCACGTGGGACAGGTTAGGGAAGGGGACCCCAAAGGCTGCTCCTGTGGAGAGGGGCTTGGAAAGGTTTCTAGGGGCTCTGTTTTCTCCCACCTAACACAGTGACTGTCTTACCAGCCCACATCTAGATCCCAAACATTTTAGGACATGGCTCCCATTGTCGCAGGTGGCTCCCCTTGCCCTCCCAGTCAAAGGAGGAGCCTCACAATGGGATGCAGGTCAGGAAAGGCTTGTGGCTCAAAGCACTGAGTTCCATTAGTACCTTGTCCCTCCAGGTAACCCCTAACCCAATTCCCTGGCTCTTTGGGCCACCTGACTGCTGTCACCAGGCGGGAGGGAACCCGAGTGGACACCTGTTTCTTCCCAGTCTGTCTGTCGGACTTGTCATGGCCGTCACTGCCACAGGGAGGTACGTGGCACGGCATGAAAATTGGTCTGTCCCACAAAGCGATTGCTCTGAAGTGTCTCCCATCTGTTAGAGTCCCCAGAAGGGGGTCACACTCCCTTTCCCAGGGCCAGAGTCCCAGCACCTGCAGCTATGATAACGCAGGGCAGGACCCCTCAGGCTAGGGTTTCACCGGCCACAGATCCTGGACATCTGCCACAGAGCTGACCTCGCGGTAGCTTCCCACCTTCCCTTTGTACGCATCCTCTGCTCCCTGCTCCAGTGACAACGTGTGATTAGAATTCCAGAAAGTGGAGAGCCGCTGCCCAGAGACTCCGGGCTGCTCTGCGAGCCTGCTGAGGAAACTGGAGACTCACACAATCCCAGCACAACCCTCCACTGGCTTCCCGTCCCACATGGGATGAAGGGGTGAAGACATATGCCAGCTCCAGGGAGTCTTCATGGCCAGGCCTGGGAGAAAGACATGACCAGCTAGGCTAGGGCTATTTCAAGTCCAGCAAGAGCCCTAAACATCATAATTCTCTGTTCCATCAATTTTTTAAGCCCTTTAAGAAAAAGATACATACATATATATACGTGTGTGTGTGTGTGTATATAGTATATATACACATATAAGTGTGTGTATATATATACAAATTTAAACACACTGTATATATACATATAAATGCCCAAGATTGGCACATTTATGTATCCAGATGTGATGGATAAGCTTAAAATGCAGTTATATGGTCATGTACTGTTATTGGCCGCCCCAGTTCTACACAATTCCTGATAATCTCAAAATGTCAGATCACCGCATAGCTTATGTGGTTTTCACTGTTCTCTCTCTCTCTCTCTCCCCTCCCTCTCTATCCCATTCATAATCATTATAATTTCAAATGAATACAAATGAAGTCCTCATAATGAGGAGGTGCAGTAGGTTAGCCTCCAGGGCAGGGCTGCAGGGGCGCCCCGGTGCTGTGGGATATTACACCACACAGGGGCTTTCTGTGTGTTGGTAACATAATGCCCTGATCGCCCAGGGTCTGTGAAAACTTGGTATTTTCACTTGGAGGCCCATGTTGGCCTCATAAGTTATCAGTGAGTGTCCCCAACTGCTGAAGTTAACAGATCTGCCCCTCTCTCCTGCCCCCCATCCCCATAGGTCTCCCTCAGGAGCCAGGGCCACACCTTGTAAAGGCATATGCATTTACTAAAGGAAGAGAGGGCAGGGCACCTGTCCTTGACACTGGGCGGCTGGACCGGTGGAGAGACTGAGGCCACTGCTCAGAGGCGTGTGGAGTGACAGCTTCTGGGAGCTGATGATGTGTTGGCGGAAGCATGCAGCAACAGTGGCATCCAGGCAAGTGAAAAGGCGGAAGGGGCTGAGTTTGACAAACACCCCTGCCGGAAGCAGTGTGCCTATGGCTGGCCTATAGAAGCGGGTCTTTTGGAATCAATGCCAAGGTTGCAGCGGTCATGAGCGCAGGCTAGAGAAGGGCAGAGGAGTGGCTGAGAAGCACAGAATGGTCTGGGCCAGGCAGCACCAAAGCTGAAGACATCCCGTCCTCAGGTCCTGGGTTCAAGGGAAGGACATCAAACCTCCATACTTACTACCTTGGGGTCCTAAAGAAACTCTCAAGGGTCCTTCCAGTCCTGTGTCTAAGGTGGAGAGGACCACAATGGACCACTGAGTCCCACATCTTTTCTCAGCAACAACAGAGCCATATTCACACCAAATCACCTTCTCTTTCTCTTTGTCCCTTCTTCCCTCTGAAAGGAAAAGAAAGTAATTCTCTTCTTTCCCTGAAGGCTGGCCTCATATTTGCAAAATAACAAGTGGGTTCACTCTGGTTTTAAAACGCGGAGGAAGCCCCCACTGAGCTCCGTGGATGCTCCTTCTGTGGCACATAGATTGCAAAGGATTCAGGGAGAGGGCCCTCCTAATACCGAATGAGCATCCCAACAGCTACAAGGCTCTGGGGGCACCTCCAGGAAGCTTCGATTTGGGGCTGGAATTCCCACCTGCTTAGCTCAGCAGGTGGTTTGGCTCTTTGTAGAAACTAGTGAACCTTGGGCCCAGCACTTGACAAAGAATTTGAGATGCGCTCTGTTTTAGAATTCAGACCTGATTCTTTGCGTGTGTTTGGGAAGGCAAGAACTTTGCACATAGAAAAACAAATGAGAAATTTAAAAAGGCTTTGTGTTAAAGTTAGGCAGCTAAGAAATTGAAAACTCCACCACCAAAAATATATATATAAATAAATAAAATAGCCACATGTTCTGATTTTTCTTTTCCTAGTAAAGACCCCTGTCTTTGGAAGCCAAGACGTTGCAGCAAACAACAGAGAACCAGACTCTCCAAGGACATAAACCAACCAAAAAGTACCCAGCTGTTCTAGCACAGCATAAGCAAACCATTATAACCATTCTCTGGGTCTGGAGAGAGAAGATGAAGGCTATGCAAAACTGAAGCGGAGCCCAGGAGGAATGATGGAAATCATAGAACCATATCTGCTGGTCACAGGACATGCTCACTGCTATTTGCCTTCATTTTCTCTCAAAGGAAGAAGAGCAACCAATATGTATTTGCTTCTCAGAATAACATCCTCTGATGTTCAAGTCCTTCCTTTTTTTTGCCCAATATATGGGAAGGAAGACAGAGAATAACTTTCTGGGGCAGAGAACATATTTCTTGACCCATATTAACATAGATGTTATTCTGTCCTCTTGTAGTCATTTAAAAATATACATTAATCAAAAAAGAGAAGAGGAGTTAGATCACCATCCCCTCCTCCACAGCACCTAGCATGGTGCTTTGCACACAGCAGGTGCTCAGCTAATGCTTAAAAGGATTTTAAATAGGAAGCAAACCTGACAACCATATACTTTTACCCTCAAAGTACTTTCCCAGACAGTCACCACCTCATCCTCACAACACCCCTGTGAGGTAAGTAAGCAATACTCTTTCCTTCTTTACAGAACAGTAAACTGGTCCCGAGAGTGCGACTTGACTTGGGTCTGCAGAAAGATAGAGGCCTGAATTCATTACTCCCAAGAACATGACCACTTCATGAGAACGTGCCTTTCCTTGCTTTAGATGCTTCCTCTTGCCCTTTAGTAAAACAATAATGCTTAAATCGGTCACTCAGTAAAATCCATTTCCTCTGTTTGCAAAGAACATGCTTTGCTATTTCTGCCCCAGAGAGCGTAGGAAGTAATGATTAGATGGTCGCACATATGTTTGCCCCCACATACTTCTGGAAGCCCTCCTCTTCTTTATCATTCTTCCTACCCATCTACTGAGTCCTTCTGTCCTCGGTGGCTCCACATGTCCATCTTCTCGGTCATAAATGCCGTACAGTTCATTCACCATCCATCCTAGTCAAAAAAGCGGTGCCGGCGAGAACGGAGAGCCAAGCCTGAGGTCTCATTTATGTCTTCCTTCTGGTTACCATCAGAAACACCTAGTGAAAATAAATAAGCCAAGCAGGATCTGGCCTATCCACAGAACAATCAGAGATACAAGATCAAACAGAAGTCATTATTGAGTTCCAAACTATATCTGGTCCCTTGTGCTGTCAAAACAGTAATATTAATCTTGGCAAACAGAGTCAGAGCAGGTGGGAAAGGAGCTCTTGTCAGGGCCCCATAGTCAAGGAGCAGAAGAATTTGTAGCAACAACTGGGACCTATCTAGGTGAGTTACCTGTTCCTTTGGGACAGTCTCAAAATGGGACGTGTGTGTGTGTGTGTGTGTGTGTGTGTGTGAGGATTTTTACATTGGAATACACCTGAACCCCAAGGAAAGGGTCAGAGCTCAGAGCCAGATTTGAAGCTTCTAGAATTTTCCCTTCCAAGAAGGTTCTCAAAGCCAATGGAAAACCAGTGCTGCAGCGGGCCCTCCTGGAGCGCTAGCGCGCTTCACTGCTCCCACCTGCCCTCACTCTGGTGTAGGTCTTAAGAAGAGCACAAAGCTTCTTAGGATGGGTCTGTTTTCTTCCTCAAAGGGTATCTTGGTAGTTGAATTGAAAACAGTCAAACCATAGGAAAAAGAAAAAAAAGAAAAAAGGAAAAAGAAACTCAACTAAATGTTTCCAATTCAAATGATGAGGAAAAAAAATACCCCAATTTAAAGAAAACCCCTTAGTGATGTTCCCCAGCCCCTGTTTGTCTCTGAACCTTTGCCTGCAGTCTCCACTCAAAGCACACCAGGGAATGATGAAGACCCACCATTGGGACCCGCAGTTTGGCTGACGAGACTTTTTTGTTTTATTAAAAAAACACACACAGTTTTGTTTCTGTACTCTGCAGAGAGGCAAAGAGAAGGAGAGTCCATTCGATGAGGTGAGCCTCAAGGTTGAAAAACATTGTAAGGAAGAACAAAAGTCAGAGATATTTCCTAAAGAGCTTTCAACCACCTTAAAAACAATCTCCAAATACTCCCTGTTCACCCATTCTCTTGTCTGCCCAAAGCTCAGCAAATACCAGTTTTCAAATGGGTCCTTCCGTATATTTTCTGATACTTTAGGAAAAATAAACATCGGGACATTTGGTTTTAGAGTTACAAGTGGCCGGCTTGAGCTAGGTGACCTTCGGTTGCCTGAGCGAGTACCACTGTACTGGGTTCACAGTGATGTGAAATATTTAAGAACCATGGGTGTGTGAGCATTCTCCCTGTCTTGCTCCACTGCTCACCCTCTGGGGTTCCAGGTGTGGCATCTGGAGAACACCCTATTCTTCTATGGTTCTACTTCCCAAGTAACGAGATCACCACCCTTCCTTATATGATGCCTTCACTACAGGCAATAATGACTGAATCCTCACAGCATCCCTGAGCAAGAGAGAAAGAAGAAGTTGGCCTTCTTTCTCTCTACTTTACAGATGGAGAAACCAAGGCACCGAGAGGTGAAGAATCCATGATCACAGTGGGGGACTCTGAATCAGCCTGTGCTATTTCCTGATCTTTCTGGGTCTGAAGAAGAGTCTCTAGGAAGTCTACAGCTAAAAGAAATCTTCTAACCCCACTCTGGCCTGAGGACCTCAGAGCTACTACATTGAGGATGGAAAAACAGACCAAGGGAGTTCATCTCCTAGGCGACCAGTTGTCTGTATCCCCCATGACACATGGCGGAAGGCTGCTTCTAGAGGGATGTTTTCTGGGTTAGCCATTGGCACTCTTCCCAAGGCAAATGATTTCTTTGTCTTCCCTGGTTTGAGGATACATTTTAGGAATAGTCCTTCCTGGATGAGCATGGACGAGCTGATTGAATTCCGTTTCTGGTGTGAGATCTTGTGATTCAAAATAGGGATTGGCAAGGGCAGGCATCTCCTACGGGGGCTTGCATATTGTCCTGCATGGGATGGGGCAGGCCAGGGCAGGTGCCCCTGAGGTCCTGCCTGCTCATTTCCGATTTGGTCTATTCTTAGCCCTTGACACAAGGTGTTGGCCGTGTGTAGAGGGAACACCTATGGTTGTCCGTCTGCTGCCCTCAGGAGCTGCCATTAATAGCACTCCCAACCTTTGGCTCCGGCACATCTCAGCCACTTCCTGCCAGGCAGTGCAAGGAAAGGTACAGGGAGCAAGAAGGCACAGCTCCTTTCCCAGGAGGAGGGAAGAAGCAGATGGTGCCCGGGAGAGTCAAGTAAGACAGACAGAACCGGGCAGGCAGGGGAATAAAGCTGCAGGCAGATCAAGGCAGTGCCCTTGTCTTTTGATATTTGGCCAATAGCACAGATGCAGTGTTTTAAGCAAGAAAGAAAACCTTTCAGATAGCTATGGATGGGTGAGAATGAGGCTTATGTTGCCAGTGCAGGAACTTAGGTGATGCATCATCTTTTTCCCCAGTGAGGGGCTTCGGAAAAAAATCTCTGAGAGGGCGGAGTTGCCATTTCACAAGTTTTGAAACTGGGACAGGCACACATGGATTTAGGATGCTCTGGGGACAGTCCTCTTACAAGCTTAGGGCTCTGTAGCCTGTGATAGGCTAACCACTGCCATCTCCACGTTGCGCTGTGCATGGGAGCGGAGTGCCACTGCTCTGAGGGGTCCGTTTTAGGAGATAATGACTCAGATGGTTAACCCTGAAAGATTTCCCGTTTTGTTCCTTTCATTCACACCTGGACCTTAAGAAGAGGAGCCGATGCTGGTTTACATTCACTGCCTACAGGGTAGCGGAGTGTGCTTCCTGCCCGCAGAGGGCTGCCTGAGAGACTCTGGTCATCGGGAAATGTTTGAGAACGAAAGGAAGGCTGATCGGGCCACTCCAGCAGGGTCTCTTCCTGGTCTCCCTCCGACTCATCAAGATCCTCCTGGCAGCTTTCTAGGCTACACTGGGAATCTCACTTGAATCCAGGTGAAATTAATGGCAGTGAACTCTTCACAGTCTCCATATTTAAATCCCTTCCCCCAACCAAATCTGGTAGTGTTATTTTAATATATATATTTTCAGTTTGGCAAAGAAATAACGAATACTAGCTTCTTGATAAGAAAATCAAATGAGTGTATCTAAGGCATGCTCCTCTCCTCGTGAAGGCTACCTACCGCCCAGGGCTGCTACCATCACACCTCAGGGGCCTGAGAGGGCTCACTTTGAGTAAGGAGCCACTTTCTTTGGCAAAGAAAAATGCCATGGTGTGTATCTACCCCATTAGAGAGAGCCAGGAGCGGGAGGGCGTGAATGGCCCCGCCCTGTTCTCTTTTAGGACCTGATACCCTTCCTCCGGCCCAAAGGCTCTGAGCCTGCCCTTGCTGTCCTCCTCTTACATCCGTTTCTGGGTACCGGAAAAAGAAAAGTTTGCTAGGGGCTGGGGCACCAGGGCTTGGGGCTCGTTATAGAGCCCCCGCCCCAGGAGCAGGGAGCAGAGGAGATAAAGGGGAAGTGTGCTTCCTCAATCAGGCAAGTGAATGCTGCAGGGGGTTTCGATGGATACATAGGAGTGAAGTCATGCCTGCTTAGAGGTTCTCCAACAAGATCAGCATCAGAAACCTCTTCTCCTGCCCCTATGACCATATGGGAGAGAGTAAAAGTAGAGGAAGAAGGGAGAAAATGATATCATTTGGTGCTTTTAAAAACCCCACACATTTTTCTCCCCGAGAATAAGGCCCCTGCTGGGACAGGGTCTGATGCCTGTGACATGAGATGCCATATGGCCAATAGACTCACCTTCATGATCACAATCCAGACAAGTATTTACACTCTTTGAAACCACCCTGAGACTCAAAGGGGCCATGGCTACTGAGGGGACAGGTTAGGCCATGAGGCCATAGTGTATTGGGTGACTTTGTGCTCTGAGATGTTGAGCGTGGGGAAGCTGGCAGGTGTGGAGGAGTCCCCAGGGCCACAAGGAAATGTTGTCTTCTGTGACTGAAAGGGACATTTTGTCAGTGTGTGCAATCAAGAGAGATGGGGCCTATTCCCACAGCAGCCATGGTGCCTCTGTGGAGAGCAAGTGGAACCTTCTGAAGACAGTAGAGGAATGTATTTCAGATAACAAGAAACTCTTGACATGAGTAAGCTCAGTGGGGGCTCATGTGATGAATTTGAACCCTCTGAGCTCCCCTCACCATGGTCTTAAGAGACATGAGGCCCAGAGAAGAAACTGATTTGCTGAGCAAGGGAGAAACAGAGCTTGCAGAAACGATGCTACAAAACCAGCCAGGTGTTAGAGATGCTACTGTATTTCTGAGACTGAAAAGAACCAATCTTCTGTGCAGTTGGGGGCATCTTTGCTGGGGAGGCAGGGGGTGGCAGTAAGGGGCACAGCTTCCTAGTTTGTTCTGTAGCTCCCAGTACAGTGTGCTTATCTGCTACCAGAACCAAATATTGAGAGCTCATTTATTTTCAGCAGAAATTCCTGGGCAAAAAGTAGGTCCAAAGATTTTTTTTTTTAAAAAAGAATATCATAGGCATCCCCCTAGGGCAGTGGTCGGCAAACTCATTAGTCAACGGAGCCAAATATCAACAGTACAACGATTGAAATTTCTTTTGAGAGCCAAATTTTTTAAACTTAAACTATGTAGGTAGGTACGTTGTTATTAACTTAATTAGGGTACTCCTAAGGCTTAGGAAGAGCCACACTCAAGGGGGCAAAGAGCCGCATGTGGCTCGCGAGCCGCAGTTGGCCGACGAAGGCCCTAGGGAGTACCTGGGGCTATATGAGCAGCACCTCATCACCCTTAAGGGGTTTATCGGGGCTCAGGCAGGTGGCAGACTAAAGGCAGATTCCCAGTGGAGTGGCCTGGAGGAGCTGGGTTTTTCAGGACCAAAGTCTTCTGGGTAGGAAGACCCACTTCCCAGGGTGAACTCAGAGCACTGAGAGTGTGGATTCCCACACTGCCACCCAGGGCCAGCCCCCAACTAGGGGAAGCACACTCATGGGGAGGTGAAGTCTGGGACCAATGGAGAGGGTTTCCTGGTGGCTAAAGACATGGGGATTGGTAGGGGCTGATGATACTGAGAAGATAGATGCAAAGTCTACCTGGCCATTCCCTGTATGTTTCCTTCCTTCCCTCCCTCCTGCGTTTGCTACTTCTTTCCTGACTTTTCTTCCTCCTTCTGGTTCTTTACAACCCAGATGCTGCTCTCAGAGGCATGTTTTCATTTGCATCATTAGGAAAGGAGCTGGCATGACGAAGGGTGTGGGAAATGACATTTCACGGGACAAGTGTGCCTTCCTGCCTGAGTCTTGTAGAGGCCGATCCAACAAAGTCTGAAAGAAAGGATTTGGGAAAGGTCCTGTCATCTACTCATTTGTTCCCAGTGGCTACAGCCCCAGAGGGTCCTCCCTGAGTTGGAAGTTATCACCCCAACTTTAGGTGCTCCAGGTCAACAAATGTGAGCCATTTTCTCATTTGCATGTAAACATAAACACACACACACACACACACACACACACACACACACACACAGGATGTGCAGTAGAAAAATAGAGCTGCAATGTGTTGAAATGAAAGAGAAAGAGAAAGAGAAAGGAAATAAATCCAAAAAAAGACAAACAAGCCAACGTGGCACAGGTCCCAAAGGGATGCACGGGGGACAGCGCCAAGGGTTGCTCTAGTGACAGATGTCCCCAAGGCTCCAGGCACAGGAGCCCCAGAACTGAGGCAGACAAGAGCTGGGACCCAGTGAGCCCAGATGGCTCCTCTCACATGGCCTCCCGTCCTCCAGCCTCAGCAGAGTAAGCGGCGAGCTAAGCCCTCAGTAGGGAAGCAGAGTCCAAAGGAAAAGCACCTCCAGCCAGACTGGAACTCCCAATTAACCACTGGGTGGCCCAGGGGCCTGGGGTGGGCACAGACAGGCCCACGTGGCTGGTCTGCACCAAGGCCTGGTGTGCTCTGTGCAGTGTGCTTCCTAGTGGGTGGGTCCCGGGCCCATAGGCTCTCTGCACCTCTCCTCCCACCCCTCCTTCCCACAGGGGGAGCACCCCAGGGGCAACCGAGTCAGGGAGGGGGACAGGAAAGCACTGCAAAGTTTAATACCAATAAAGGAAATCGAAGAGATCTGGACAAAGAAAGGAACATCCAGATTTACAACTAACTAAAATTTAAAACTTATTTTTAAAAAATCTTTAGATAAACAGTGAAGGTAAGAAGGAGAAGCCTCTTTGAATAATAATTTCTTTTTAAAAAACCCACCAACATAAAAACAAACAAACAATTCCTCAGAGTTTGAACTTCTCTTAAGAATAGTTCAATGTGAGGTCTTGCACCCTAAACAGTTATATCTGGAAATTTAAAAAAAAAATCGCAGCTACACACAACAAAGACTAAGAGTATTTGCTAAAAAATAGTGTGTGTGTGTATATATATATATATTTATATATCACTTCAGTACTTGAAGAGTCCTTTTATTTGACAAGTAATGCTTCTTTTAAACTGTTTTTTCCTTTTTTTTTTTTTTTTTTTTGGTGCCCAAGTAGAGATACAATGGGATTGAAACGATGTCCTAGAACAGAATATTCCTTACAGGAGCAATACTTTGAAAAATAACATTTAAAAATGGTTGAACATATTGCAACACCTCTCAAAATTCAATTTGGTACAATGAGAAAAATAATAAATCTTCACCCAAATGACACGGCATCTAAGACCCAGAATATGCTGCTGGTGTGAGTCTCGCCATCCAGACAGGGGCTCATATTCCAGCACCACCCCCTCCTTCCTGCTCCCCCCTCCCTAGCCCTCTTACACTCCACCTTAGCATACCCAGAGTCTGCCTTAGAGCAGTTTTCCACATTTCTGGCAAGACCTTGCAGCAGACACATACACACAAATATACGTGTGCTGTGGACACACACACACACACACACACACACACACACACACACACAATTTCCCACTCACCCCAGATGCACCAAGTGAGCTGAATGAGTTTCAGCCAACCACAATGGTGAAAGACAGAAGCACCAAACAGTCTTTGAAATGGGTCAGTTATTCAATTTGACATGGTGGTGTTTTTTTATATATATATATAATCTAATTTTCCTCTGTGTTAATATTTTTAAAAAACACAAATGAAAAATGAAGAATTCTTTCCAGATCAATTTAAGGCTTCCCACCAAATGGAAACAGAAGAGGCCTTACACAATGTCATGTGTGATAAATGTATACCTTTCACGGCCTTAAAAGGACAGACCAAAATCATTTTTTGCCAGTCACTGATTAAGTATTGTGCCTTTAAATTGATGTTGTTCTTTTTGCTACTATGCTGAGTTTTATTATTACTGATTTTCTTTGATTAGATAGATGGAAATCTTTAATTTGCTTTAGATTTTCCTGTTCTCATTGAATGATTGGGGTGGGTTTTTTGTTTGTTTGTTTTATTCTGTTTTGCTTTTCACCAGGAAACAAATGTGATCCGAACTAGGTGAATGGTTAATGGCACAAGATCAACCTTCAAGGAACTTTCCCAGCCATTTGAGTTCCAAATGGCCATTTGGCTCCTAGAAGGTGCTGTTAAGCTGGGGACAGGGACGGGAGAGCAAGGAGTGAAACGGAACAGAAACTGGGGTTTCTATGCCTTTGCTTTTGGTGAATTTGTTTTCTTCAATACAAATAGTCAGATAGGAAGAATAATTGCTTTGTGTTTTATTTGTTGGTTGGTTTTCGTTTTCGTTTCTGGATTTGTTTTGTTTGATAGTTTAATTTCCCCTCTCTTGGTGCCAAAACCACCAGAGAGTTTTGCGTGAGAAAAACGTGACAGTACTTAATGAAACTCAGCACCTAAGGGCATAAGGCAGTTGAAGGTTTGTTTGTTTGTTTGTGTTTGTTTTATTTTGTTTTGTTTTGTTTGTTTTGTTCTTTCAATCAGCACCAATCCCATAAATGATCTACACTTGGTGTAAGGTATAAAACATTTTTTTTTCTTTTGGAGTGGAGACAGCTCCTCCTTCTCCACCCTATGAACAATAGTGTGGGATTTTCAATACTGTTTCTTATGTGTAAAAAACAAAAGAAAGGTCTTCTTTTTGTTTTTACTTACAAAACATAGAGAATATCTTTGTATACATACAGCGACTGGAAAGAAAGCTTATCTGAAGGGGTTGTGACGTATTATTTTCTTTTTTTTGTAGCGGTGGTGGTGGAGGTGGTGATGGTGGTGGTGGTTGTGATTTTGTGTATTGGGAGAAGGGAGGGTTATATTTCTTGCAAGCGGTGTGAACCGCAAACCAACTTAAGGTCCCCTTCTCAACTTGGGTCAAGACGCTCTTAGAGTGAAGACTCGTACTGTAGCAACTCATAAAGGAGCGGTCCATCTCGATACCGAATGCCTACCGCGGTGGGGGTGACATACTGCAGAATGTTAATAGTCCTTCTCAACCTCCTGTCTACAAAATGAGCATCCCAAGCTGGGTATCTCTTCCTTGGCATGTCAATCTTAATGAGGGGCCCTTCTGGGTGGTAAGGACGCCCCGACGGGGTGGAGGGCCCCATGGGTCTCACTTGGAAAACGGGCAAGCAAGTGTCAGCCGTGAGATCCTCCTGTTGTTCCGTTACGGCTCTGGTAGGCGTGACCTGGGTCCCCCGGTACCCAGGGGTCTGAGGCGCCATGGGCTCAACATCGGGGGGCAAAGGGATGCCCCAGAGCAGCTCGGCACAACAGGAGCTGGCAAAGATCTTAGCTCGTGGCCCCATGGGATGCAGCACACCATAATATAAGAGCATCAGTGCGATCCCAGCCACAAAGCTAATAAAGACACAACACAGTGCTGGCACCGCATAGAAGTCAGTGGTCTCCGGGTTTCTGTAAAAATACCAAAGGAACGTCAAGGCAGCATTCTCGGTCAAGACTATCGTGTAATATGCAAACATTCGATATCGAGTCCGCCCTTCCTTGACGTTAAACCAGCAGAAAATGTACACAATCCCTACCACCATGTTGAAGAGGATCTCCTCCCACTTGGACATGCAGAAGTCTGTTCCGCCATGGATGATCCAGAAGGCCATGGCGCACCAGTGAACCACCACGAAGATCCCGAAGTAGAGCTGGAAGATGGAAGCAAAGAGGGCAAAAGAGATAACTCTGGATGAGATGGTGAAGAGGCGCCAGAAGAGGTGGATGAGGGCCCCTCTGTAGCTCATACTCTTCTTGTCGTCCCTGGAGTCCCGCAGCAGCTTGTGATAGGAGGCTAGCACCCAAGCCAGGGACATCAGGGAAGTCACAGAGGAGACACCTGCCGGAAAGACACAAACCCACACAGTCAAAACCTTGGATGTCAACTGCAGGGCACAGCAGGGCTGCCAGCTGAGGAGACGCCCACACACACCGAGATCTAAAGGAGGAGGGAGAAAGAAACACAAAATCAGGAACCGAACTTGGAGGTCACAGCTGCTCCCTAAGCTGACAGCTTTTGAAAATCTAGTTTCAGTTTCCACAACCCAGCCCAGAACTCCTGGAGATTCACTGCTCAAGAGTGAAGCTGAGGCTGACATGCTTTGCCAAGGGGGTTGAGAACTGGGGCCCCTGTGGTGCCTCATTGCATCTGCTGTGATGGGCCCACATGTGTTCCATTTTAAGGAATTCCAAGTTCACGGGATCCTTGTTACACACAGATGTGTGGCAGGGGATGGTGTCCTTGTCACCAGGAGCTCATGCTCTCAGAGAAACTCATAGAAGGGATCACCCATTGTCAAGGCTGACAGCTTACTCTCTGCCTCCAGATCCACACCCTTCTCCTGCGGGAAGGCACTGGAGTCACCCTTTTGCCTTTTCATCAGTTCACTCAGGCCTCAAGGAGCCCTTCACTGAACCTTCTTCCACTTAGCTTCTCCCTCCCTCATCCGTTCCCTAAGGACACCCTGATCAAGGACTCTGGGGTAGTCTGTCTGTTTCGCTGGCTGCCTTTCTCACTCATTCTTCTCTCTTGGCCTCCCCACGATCCTTGTTGCTTTCTCCAACAAACCACTGCTGCATGTTCTCTGAGATCTTACGAGGTCCCATCCTGACCTAGCAGCGGTAAAACTCATAGTATGAGGATGCCTTTCCCCCACCAGCTTGGTTTCCAAGGCCCTGCATGGCATTCCCTGCATTTCTCCTCAACAGGCAAGTGAATGTATCTGATCTCTAGTGATACTGGAATCACCAAGGGCAATTTTATTTATAATACTGCTTATTTGATATGAGTAACTAAATCAAACTACACACAAATAGTTAATAGAGTTTCTCCAGACCCACCCATGAGCAAGCAATCTCTGGTCAGATATAATCATACAATCTCCTCTTAAGCAAGATCATCACCACCTGGCTCCCGCAAGTGTTATCTTCACTCAGTCCATCTAGCATCTCTTCTGCTTTTCCGTTCTTCCAACATTTCAAAACTAAATGCAGCCAAACCAACTGAGGTCCTGAATAGTGTTCCACAGACAACATCTACTTACCACATTTCCCACCCTCGCACCAGAGCACAATTCCCCACAACATTCTTCCAAGTTGAAATCAATGTTTCCTCGTCATTTTCTCTTAAGCTCAAAGGTCAGATCTAGGAGCCCATTCATCAAGAGACTAAGTAAACTGCCCCAGAGCACCAGGCTTCTGTTCATCTTTCCCAGGTCCTTGCCCATCTCTCCATTCATCTCCAAACCTCAATGAAGAATCAAAGTCCTTTGTCATTTTACACCCTCCCTGCACTGACCCATCTCACACAGCCCTTCCCTTCCATTTCAAGGAGATGCTCTGGTTTGCAGCTTGCAGAACAGGATAGGGTGAAAACAAAAACCAATATGTTACTATAACCATAGAAAAATCCTGGATGGTTAAGTTCTCCATAGAAGCCAATCTTGAAAACGCCTAATGACTTTCCACTTAGTTTTCTGGAAAGTTCTGAACAGGGTACTTTGGTGTCCTGCCTTGCCCTTTGTACACACAGGGCATTTCCACAGCATCTGGTGAGGGCATGCATGCTCTGCAACCATGTCACAGTGGTTACCCTCACCTGTCAGCCTCCTCTGTTCATGTTGTCTGTTGGATTGGTGCAGAGAGGGAAATAGGTCCCCTTAGGAGTCACATGACTTGGGCTGTAGGTTTCTGGAGGCAGGGATGTGCAATCATCTTAATAGTCTATACTAGGCTTATTACCAACACTGGAGCATCCTTGGAGAGTCCCTTTTAAACATCTCTGTGACGTCACCCCTCTCTTTGTGAACTCATTTCTTGATGTGGATAATAATATGTCTCAGAGGTTCTACTGACCCTTGTAATCAGAGGGAAATTCTACCAAAGCTGACTGGGAAGACGGCTATCTACGAGCCAAGGTGAGAGCCCTCAGGAGAAACCAAACCTGCCAACACCTTGATTTTGGACTTCCAGCCTTTAGAACTGTGAGAAAATAAATATCTGGTGTTTACCCAGCCTGTGGTATTTTGTTACAGTAGCCCTGGCAAACTAATACAGTGTCCTTTTTTATATGAAGAAACAAGATGATTTTCAAAAAGTATACATCTGTCAAGAAGTTGAATCAGGATTCAAATTCAGGCTCCAGTGGCCTTGAAAGTCACCACTGTACTAACGGGCCCTGCAGGCATTGCCTTGAAAGGGTCTGGGTGAGGGGAGAGGAAAGAAAGTCTGGGCACACTGGGTGCAGAGGGTTTGAATCTTTTGCCAAGAGTGGACAAGAAGTACAGTACCCATGGCTATCTGATAGAAGCCCTTGATTATGGAACTAAAAACCAAATGTGAATTCTATTCTACTTTCTTCAGGGGAGTAACATTCAAGCCACAAAGAAAGAGGTGATGCCAACAGAATTAACTGAGATCACTTTCCCTCTGTGAAATGATTAATCTTCCAAGGCCTGCAGTGTATTCCACTACAGAGGGAGGAAGTGTGGGGTTTTCCCTCTCTGCAGTGGCTCACTTGGAAGCTTTCTGTCTTGCCTGAGGTCAACCCAGAAGTCAATGCGTTACCCTGGCCAAGACCCAAGTTCACGGGAACCCGCTGTGGAAGCAGCCTGGTGGCCCTGTGGCCCCAGTGAAATTCTTGGATGGGCCTGGGAGCGTTTATGATTTGCTTCCAGCTATAGCTCGATCACTTTCTGCATTCCAAAGATCAGGCTGGAAATTGTTAAACACTTCACGTTTGACTGTGACAACTTCTGGGCAGTGACCTTCATGGCTTGCTCACTTTTCCCGGTGCAGACCAGGAGGTGGGGCTTAGAGCTGGCCCACTGAGCTGACCGAGTCCAGCCCAGGCAGCTAGGAGTCACTATGCTGGAGCCTCCTGGGGGGCCACGCCCCTGAGAAAGGCTTGGGAGAGGAATCTTCAGGCTCTGATCACTGAACCTAGGATCTAAGGTTTCCAGGAATGGAATGACCACAACTATAACCAACAAAACAGAGCAGAAGGGGCCACACCATGCAGTTGGATACTCCTTACTGAAGAGGGGTAGCCATCAGGGAAGACCCAATTTGGTGGTGACATTGCAATATCCAAGGGTCACTGTCAGTTGAACTGTTGCCAATTGGGAAACAAAGCAAAAAAGTGTGAGTGTGGCTGTCCCATCATGTGAGAAGCACAGAGACAGGTTATCTGAGAAAGGACGGGACTCTAAAATCGGAGGGTAGGGACAGATAACGTGAAAGACCCAGAGGCTATGATGAAGTGGGAGGGCTCAGAGACAGTAGGAGGGCCCAGCCTTCAGGGTGACATAGGGAGGCTGAGGTTTGGGAAGTAGAAGGCAGGACCATGGCTCAGAATGGGCCAGGGCTGCATTGAGGGGCCAGTATATGGGACCCCCGAAACACCACCAGAAAGGGGACTGGGAAAAGAAACCAAAATGCTAGAGCATCTCAGAGGGAGACCACAGCATGTGATTTGAGGAGTGCTCTGGGAAGCCACGGGAGTATCCACAGATGACTACGAGACTGCTTCTGAGTGAAAGTGGATGGGGTCCATGGCAGGACTCTGTTTTGCAGAATGGGATGTACCCACCTAGATCTGTCATCAGCTGCCCTCTTCTACCCTCTGCCACAAAGTGCTCAGTCTCTTCACTAAATCACATGTTGGAAAACACTTAAGGAAGAGGGATTGGATAGATGCTAAGCACAGGTAGGGCAGGGGTGGGAAGAGCCAGCTGTGCAGGGACCCACAGTTCCCTCTCCCTGGCTTCTTCCCATCACATAGTCATGTTCTTCCCATTTTACAAAGAGTAGCTCCCCGGACCTTGCATCCTCTCCCAATGCAACCCCACCTCTCATTGTCTCTTCTCCTCCAAATTTCTCAAAGGTGATCTTCTTGCTCCCTTCACTCTCCTACCTCTCCTCCAACCCCCTGGAGAGTTCTCATTGAGTTGGTCAACCAATTCCCAAGTGCAGCATTAAGAGGATTGGTTCAGTGCACTCCTAACTCTGTGTGACATTTGGCATTTGGACCCTGCTCTGTCCTTCTTCAAACTTGACCATTAGCTATGCCCCAGTCTGGCATCCTCCCCCTGCTGAGCTATTATCCCCATTTCACAGGTGAGGAAACTGAACTTGAATGTGGCCACAGCTATGTTCTGACATCGCATGCTCACCTAATTTGTAGGATGTTGGACCCTACTGGGTTGGTCCCCTAGAGATTCCCCAAACCAAGAAACACGGCTATTTGTCTACCTGCAGGTCAAGGTCAGCATGTCCCTCTTTCAACCCTCACCTCTTCCCTCCCTACCATTGATGCTACCGTTTGGGGGAAACTCTACCATCTGCTTTTCAAATTCCCATTGTGTATTTCCCCACACTGAGTTCCTTTAATTTGGGCAGTTCTTCCCTTTCCACCTGTCAACTTCCCCCTATCTTGCTACATTTTTTAAAAAACCCAGTCTCTTCTTGGAAATGCTCCCAGAAAAAAGATAACACAGCTGTGTGCATGGCTCTTTAAGCAACACCGTCTGTCTCCTGTCCTCACCTCCACCCAGGCACACAGCAAGAGGTGATGGCATAAAGGTACTTTACTAAGCAGGAAACCAGGGGGAAAGAAACAAGCCTCATGGATGCCATCTATGAGCCAGGATCAAAGACTCAAATAACTTGGCCAAGGTTACATAGGGAGTAAGCAAGAACGCTGATGCTGCAACCTGGGATTACCTCACTCCCCAGACAGGATCACGGTGCGGAGGCTGGCTCTTCCTGTCTTGTGAGGTGCAACTGTTACATTTGCAGGAATTCTGTGGGCTGTTTGATGTCATGTTGGAGCCTTAAAAT